AGCCGAAAAATTTGACAGGCTAGTGACAGCCTGTCGCCAGCGACGCAGCGGGCGCGATGGTGGGGCGCTGACGCGGACGTCGGAGTTCCGAACGCGGGGTCGCCATCTCCCAAACACGCGGGTCGTCGAGCTGGGACGCCATGGTCAGGTGCGCGTTCGCTGAGGGTCGTGTTCGCCCAATTCGAGCTCAACTGCTCGAGCTCATCTGCCACCATCGCGTTCGTCGTCGAATTCGCTGAGTCGACGCTCGCCTGCATCAATCTGGAGCTCGTCGGAGCTCCTCCGCCGTCGTAGGTTGGTATCCACCCCCAACCTAACAATCTCCCACTTGGAGACCAAACCGACGGCAACGGGCTATATCATCAAGCTTCTCTCCTGTGTGGCTCCGCCCTCATCATCTATGCATGAAGGCCAACTGAAGTTGCGCACAACTCCAGTTTCTGAAAGGTCGCTGCCTTTGTCAACATATCTGCTGGATCTTTTCTTCCTTGGATATTCTGTTGAAATCCTTTGACAACTCGTCGGGCTCTGTATCTTCTGAAACCATTCTTCTCCTTTTTCACTCGATACACCCACTTGTTGTGACGTGCCTTCTTCCCTATGGGCAACTTAGCTAGTCCCCATGACTGGTTGGAGATCAGAGATTTCATCTCTTCTTTCGCAGCAAACTCCCACTTGCTCGCATCTCCACTCTGACAAGCTTCATCAAAGCTTTCAGACTCTCCTCCATTTGTCAGCAACATATAATTCATGTATCTGCTGTTAGGCACAGGAGGACGAGTACTTCTCCTCAATATCGGAGCTGGTGCGTCGGGCTCCTGCGCACCGTTCTGTCCAACAGGCTCTTCTGGCTGAGGACCTTCTGCATTGGATTCTTCAGAGAGGTTATCTGGGACATCATCTGCATCTACAAATGTTGACTCGCTCTCTGAGTCACCGTCATCTGTCTTGTGCATGTCCTTGTACATCACCTTCTCGTTGAATGTCACATCTCTGCACCTGATCACCTTCTTGTTTTCGTTGTCCCAAATGCGGTAGCCGAACTCGTCTTCACCATACCCGATGAATGTGCATTTCTTGGACTTGGGATCAGGTTCATTCCTGCCTTGATCACTTATATGCACATAAGCTACACAACCGAAAACTTTGAGATGTGAGAGGGTTACCTCCTTTCTGCACCATACCTCTTCTGGTATTCTGTGCTCCAATGGAACCGATGGACCTCGGTTGATCAAGTAAGCTGCTGTGTTGACTGTTTCTGCCCAGAACTACTTCAGTAGACCTGACTGCGTCCGAATGCTTCTGGCTCTCTCTGTCAACGTTCTATTCATGCGCTCAGCCACACCATTATGCTGAGGCGTGCCGGGCACGGTCCTTTCCATTCTGATACCGTGCTCATAGCAGAACTTCTTGAATCTGGTGTCTTCATACTCACCACCATTGTCTGTTCTGAGTTTCTTTACCCTCAAACCGGTCTCATTCTCGACCATGGCTTTCCATCTTCTGAAAGCCTCAAACACTTCTGACTTTTTCTTCAGAAAGTAGACCCATACTTTCCGAGAGTGATCATCAATAAAAGTCATGAAGTAGTGTTTCCCACCAATCGACGCGGTGGTTGTTGGTCCCCAAACATCTGAGTGAACAAGCTCTAGCTTCTGCTTCGTGCGGGGTCTGCTACTTGTCTGAAAGCTAACTCTCTTCTGCTTTCCAAGTATGCATTCTTCACACATATCAATCTCTACTGATTGTAAACCTGTGAGTTTTCTCTTTGTGTGCATAACCTTCATCCCCTTTTCACTCATATGACCGAGTCTCTGGTGCCACAGCTTTGAAGTCTCATTGCCTGCTGCAACTGAGATCGAACAACGTGCACTCGCTGTCATATACAGGGTACCAGTATACAGTGTACTAGTCTTCCTGTCTCTGGCAATCGTCATTGCGCCCTTCGAAATCCTCCAGTCATCGCCATGGAAAGTCATCGTGTAGCCTTCACTAGCCAGCTGGCTTACTGAGATTAAGTTCCTCTTCAGGTCGGGAATATACCTGACATCCTTCAGCTCCCATACTGACCCATTCAGCTTAATCTTCACTACACCTTTGCCAATAATGGCACATGCTTGATCGTCACCAAGATATACATTTCCAAGGTTTCCGGGGATATACTTCTCGAGGAATTCTTTCTGAGAAGTAGCATGGAATGATGCTCCCGAGTCCAACACCCAAGACTCCTCCTTGCTCTCCAAAGAGCATATCAGCGCATCTTCTCCTCCTGAGGTGGAGGCAACGTTCACATCTGCATTTGCCTCCCACTCCTCCCGTGCACTCCTGCACTGATTCTTGTAGTGCCCGGTTTTCCCGCACTTCCAACACTCGATAGCCTTCGAACTGTTGGGATTTCTGGATTTGGATCTCCTATCATCTGATCCATTTCCTCTGGTTGAACTTTTACCTCTTGACTCTGTATACAATACTGAAGAGGTTGTAGCTTTACCCGACTCTCTCCGTCGGATCTCCTCACTGAGAACCAGATCACGAATGTCGTCAAACTTCAACTTTCTCTTTCCCGATGAGCTACTCACTGCCGTGACTGTAGCGTTCCAACTCTCTGGTAGGGAAGACAAAAGGATCAACGCTCGAACTTCCTCATCAAACTCAATATCAACTGAACTCAATTGGGTCGTGACTGTATTGAGTTCATTGAGATGATGTGCTACCGATGCACCTTCCGCCATTCGCAGATTGAACAACCGCCTCATCAAATGGACTTTATTTGAGGCTGATGGCTTCTCATACATATTTGAGAGTGCTGCCATAAGACCTGCCGTGGTCTTCTCCTTCGCTATGTTGAACGCAACATTGCAAGTTAATGTCAATCAGATAACTCCGAGGGCTTTTCTGTCTAGAAGATTCCAATCTTCTTCCTTCATACCCTCCGGCTTCTTCCCCGAGAGAGGATGATACAGATTTTTCTGATACAGATAATCCTCTATCTGCATTTTCCAGAATCCGAAATCTGATCCATCAAACTTCTCTATTCTCACCTTTCCCTCATCTGCGGCCATGGCTCCCACTTGAATCTGACTTCCTCTAGATCGTTTCACGCTCTGATACCAGTTGTTGGGAATTTAAACGCCTAAACCCCTAATGCAACAGAAACGCAGTATAGAAAGAAGTACACCAAGTTTTAACGAGGTTCGGCAACTGCCTACGTCCTCGGGAGCCACACAGTCAATTTCTTATTTAATCTAACAAGAAATTACAAATCAAGAGCAAATCTCTAAACTGAGATTCCTCAAACAAACACTGTAGCTACAGTGTTAATACCCACAATAAAATCCCCTCTTCTCTTTTCTCTCTCTTCTTAAATCCCCTGACAGCCTGTCGCCAGCGGCGCAGCGGACGCGATGGTGGGGCGCTGACGCGGACGTCGGAGTTCCGAACGCGGGGTCACCATCTCCCAAACGCGCGGGTCGTCGAGTTGGGACGCCATGGTCAGGTGCGCGTTCGCTGAGGGTCGCGTTCGCCCAATTCGAGCTCAACTGCTCGAGCTCATCTGCCACCATCGCGTTCGTCGTCGAATTCGCTGAGTCGACGCTCGCCTGCATCAATCTGGAGCTCGTCGGAGCTCCTCCGCCGTCGTAGGTTGGTATCCACCCCCAACCTAACAAATTACACAAATTTGTGTATTTTATTGGCCTAATAAGGTTTTTGTGCATTAGAGCAGACTGGCTATTTACTTTGTATGGAGACCAATTTTTGTCCAAGCTCTCATTTATGTGTAACATTTTGTTATGAAGAGGTATATAATGGGAACTGAAGCCTCAGAATAACGTCAATGCTGAGGGTATGATGAGCTGCTGGACTTACTGTTACCTGATACATTTACATGCAATGTTTGTTATATCCTATTTTTGGATTAGGAATACGATGATTATGGTAACATAGCACGGTGAAAAGGATGTAGTCCATTTCTTTTAAACTCGCATTATGTAACATAGTAAGCAAGATTTTGATCTGTCAAATTACGAATGCTGTGGAAATTAGAATTCATGAAGTGAAATGTAATTATGTTAACATTCTAGTGTCATGGAACACAACGATACAATGTTACTTTATCCGATCCGGACAATGTGACTTGTTCCCACTGAGGCCCCCCCCCCCCTCCCTCCCCCTCATGCAGCTAAAAGAGAAAATGAAAAAAAAAAGGGGGAATCAGAACTGTAATAGTCATTAGCCAAAGAAAGTACGAGAAAGAACAACGTTACTCCATGTGACTATACTATTTATAAGGTTTTGTTGACAAAGAACATTTTGCTAGTTCTCTAATTGTTGTGCATGTAAAATTTATTGATTTTGATAAGGACAAGCACAGAGTTTGGAAAAGCTAGCATTCTCAGCTCGATAGAATGCTATTACTGGTTTCAATGTATGCGAAATGTGGTGACCTAAGCTTTGTTTGACTTGTATTCGAACAATAGTGATGACACGAACGTGGGGGTAAGTCTTTTTACATTTTCGACTTCCATCTGCAAAATTTTGTGTGAATTGGGAGAAAAAGATGGATGTTTTGCCGTGCACATTTCAGACGTTAATTGAATCCACGGCAGCGGCAGTGATAACGTTAGACGGAGAGGCATCTGGAAGTATGTACAGTTAATTGGAAGCGTGACTTTGAAAAGCTTGGAATCTTGTTTGAGAAATATTGTATCTGTTTGGTTAATTTAGTTACTTATGTTTATATCAAATTTATTTGAGATTTTTTTCACACTGTTTTTATTGTATTCTTAATTTCCGATGTCGTCTACTGCACTTTCTTGCATCCAAACTGCAACCATTTTGAAGAGGGGGGAAATCCAAACTGTAACTGTTCAATCAAAATTCCATATAACTTAATTTTTACCTAACTGTAGGTTTATGTATCCTTTTCTCTAAACAGTTGATTGGTACTAATTCAACTTGTCATTTAAAATGAGCAATCCTGCGCATGCTCTTGTTGTTGGTGAAGGCGGCTTCAATTGCATTCTAGCCAAAAGGAAGATCTCAGCATAATAGGTTAACTCACGTCCATATTCTCCTTCAAGCCGGCATTTTGTTTTATGTTTTTGTTTTCTCATACTGCTAATAGTTACTGAAATCTTTTGCCTACATATACTCATCTTAGTTTCTTCTAGCTTTTAAGTACAAATTTCTAGCTAAGTATTAACCGAACAAAGAGGATGGTGAAAATAGGAGTTATGTTCATGCCAATACAGGGCGTCGGTCACCTAATCTCGACTGTAGAGCTCGCAAAACTTCTCTTGAAAAATACAGAAATCCACTTCTCTATCACAATTCTCACCATAAACCACCTTGTCCCTGCATGGGCTTCTGCCATCAAAGCCTACATCGATTCAGTTATCTCCCTCGGCCTTGACATCACCTTCGAAGAGCTTCCTCAGATTGACCCTCCCAATCACCAGAAACCAGAAACCTTCGTTACCCGCTTCGTTGATTCCCACAAGCCTCTTGTTAGAGACTCTATCTCCCGATACCTCTCCTCTCCGTCGAGCCCCCCTCTTTCTGCCTTAGTCCTTGATCTGTTTTGTACAAGCATGATCGACGTTGCTAATGAATTTGATATCCCTGCTTATATTTACTTCACTTCAACTGCTGCAATGCTCAGTCTCATGTTATACCTCCCTGACTATTACTCGAATGATGTTGAAGGAGATATTGATCTCCCAGGCCTCTCATCTTTGCCTAAGCTCTGTGTACCTGAGATCCTTAGGGACAAGAATGATGAAGACTGTAATATATTTCTGCACCATGGCAAAAGATTTCGGGAGGCTAAAGGGATAATTGTTAACACGTTCGATGAGTTAGAGCCGGCGTCATTGAAGGCTTTGGTTGATGGCCGGTGCTTGCCTGATCATCCCACACCTTCGGTCTTTCCTGTTGGACCGTTGCTCGCGCTTGAGCAAAAGAAAGATGGGTCGGAGTGTCATGAATGCATAAAATGGCTTGATGAGCAGCCACTGGGTTCTGTGGTCTTCTTGTGCTTTGGAAGCCTTGGTTGCTTTGAACGTCCTCAGGTAGACTGCACGACTTTCTAACATTTCATCTTGAACGTAGTTCATTTTATAGCGTGTATTTTGTTTCTTTGGTTAATTGCGGATACACACTTGTATTATAGCCAGGTTAGCCCCCTACTTTCCTTAAAAAAATTTATCGGAAAATTAGAAATTTTTGCTGTCTAAATGGAGCTGTATCTCCCTTATCTTTAGTTGTACTATAGGTTTACGCCACTTTTTAACACTCTGAACCATCAAGAGCATCTCTCAGCAACACATTGAATCATACCACATCTACGTGATAGGTACAAATAATACCACAAAATAAATTCCCTCTTGCATCACGGATCAATAAGTAGTAATGAAATTTAGCAGTAATGAGTGGCTAACCCCCTATAATTCAAGGGGTGCGTTTACAGTTAATCCTCATTTTTATTACAATTACCTGACCATATATAACAGAAAAAAATGTATCCAGAATACGCATGGTTCTACATACAATTCGCAGTATTTGTATATATACCTCTTCAATCTTTCGACATTTTCCCATGCTCTCAGGTAAAGAAGATTGCTGAGGGCCTAGAACGAAGCGGGCAGCGATTCTTGTGGGCCTTGAGAAGCCCTTCAACCGATGACATCCGACTTCCAACGGACTCCAACTTAGCCGAGGTATTACCTGAAGGATTCTTGGAGAGGATCAAAGAGAGAGGCAAAGTTTGGCCTTCGTGGGCACCTCAGATACAAATCCTGGCTCACAAATCAGTAGGAGGATTCGTGACGCATTGCGGGTGGAACTCAAGCCTAGAGAGCATTTGGTTCGGGGTGCCAATGCTCGGGTGGCCTCTCTACGCAGAGCAGCATCTGAATGCGTTTGAGATGGGGAGAGTGTTGGGAGTTGCGCTGGAGCTGAAGTTGGGTGACGAGAACGAGGGATTTGTGAGCTCTGAGGAGGTAGAGAGGGGAGTGAGGAGGTTAATGGGGGAGGATGAGGAAGGGGTTAAGGTGAGGACAAGAGTTGAAGAGATGAAGGTCGCATCAAGGAAGGCTTTGCAAACTGGAGGATCTTCTGATGCTGCTTTGGAGAGATTTGTTATGAAGTTGATTAGTGAAATGCCGAGTAAGTAATTAAGAAGATTCAGTTGCTGGGTTTATGCAATGTTATCATCTTCTAAACTATCATTAATTATCGCCTTTTGTATTAAAGTTATTGCTACAATTTTTATAATCTGCTCCAACTTTGCTTCTCACTGATATTTGTGCTACGATTGTTAAATGCAAGGTGTTTTTTTTTTTTGGTCCTTAGGATTCGGATCCTCTCCACTACAAAAAAAACAGTGAAGGGACTACTACATAATCACGGCCATTGATTATCTAATTAATGGTTATGATTTTTTCTTTTAGTGTAAATTAGGAAGGCCATTGATTATCTAATTAATGGTTATGATTTTTTCTTTTAGTGTAAATTAGGAATGAGTGCAATACACGGGGGTATGATAAGTGTTAGATTTAGATTGTATCATAACCGCCTACTAAATAATGAACGATTAAGATTAAAAGCAGTGATCTCTCCACTACTCTTTTGTAGTGGAGAGGATCCAAATCCGATTAAAATGGACTCGTTCCGTAATTACTTTGCCAAGCCCGTCTTACATATTGGGCCTGACTAGTCCAGGACAAAGGCCTAACTTTTCTTTAACCCTATGGGAATATTCTGTTGGGAGGTTCAATAAAGAAACATTAAAAAAGATACGAATTTCAGAAAAAGCAAATGAGTTATATCTAATGGTTTGGAGTCTTCGGTAAGACTAGATTCTCGACATTATACACGCAATATAAAAATATTAATTAAGATTCGGGATAAATGATCTAAATTAATTAGATAATAATTAGAAAGGATTCAATTATTCTAATATTGACTATCTATTTCAATTTTAAAGGAATCGGATTAGGTAAAACAGAACTTCTATTATTCTCTTGAATCCCCTCCTCCCACCCCTCCCACCCAAAAATTAAAAAAAAAAATTAGGACACCATCATTTGTTTTATGTCGTGTGTGAAAGCTAATTATAATTTAGCTGTCGATACTGCAAATTAAGTCATTGATAAAAGAATTGTTCTTTCCCCAAAAAATATAACAAACAAATAGTAAAACAACAGAATGGTCTAAATTATATTATTCCTTTCCACACATTTTTATGTCAAGCTATTACAATATAAAAATATAATCCGTAATTTTCATCATAATTTTGGATTTTTGGCGTAATAGTTAGAGTGACTTTAGCATGATACATGAACAATCTAGATTCAAATTATCGACAAAGAATTTAAAGTAGATTTTTTAAAAATCAACATCGACGCATGAGCCTATAATAGGACGCTCAATCTATAAAGACATATTAGAATATAAAAATATAATTCTCAATTCTCATCACAACTTTAAAGTTTTAAGTTAATAATTAAATAGACTTTTAAGATAAGCCCTGAGTAAGAAAAACCTTGACGACGCAAAGAAACTGTGAGGAGTGCTAGTTGCAGTCGTCGCCCACGACTGCCGCCGGCGGCTTTCGCCCCAAAATTAGAGGGTTGGGTTTGCGGCGTGGCCGCCGTTAGCAGTCCTCATGAAACTTATAATAGAGACACGGCACGGCCTTCGTGATGCATGTGCTCGTATATCGAAACAAGACAACAACAACGACTTTGAAGTCTTTATTATAAACTTTTAAGTTCATGTTACATTACATACTAAATATTCTGCATAATATCCTATTCTCTACTGGGTGGTCCCAAACCTAAATAAAGTAGGAGTATTCTAGGCAGCCTCAAATTTTTTATAATTTAATTGGGTGCAAGACATCTGGATAAGGTCACTAGGTGTCCATTATTTTCTTTATTTTTTTTTAACAGGTGCCCATCCATTTTTTGCATGGGGATGAAAGAAAAACTTGTTTAATTTATTATAAAATAAATATTCAATAATATCCAAATAGTGGTGATTTAAACTAATAGTATATGTCAAGATAGTGTTTAATTTTACTTTTATTCATTATATTCGAAAAGCTAATGGATATTTTAAATGGACAGAGTGTTAAATTGCGTTTATCAATTTTTTATTATTTAAATTTGCTTTCAGATGTGTGTCAATACGTGATGCACATGAGGAAACTTTTTTAAAATATTATCAAAAAGCATCACAAATCTCAAAATATACCCGAGAGAATAGAAGTTATTATAGCCCTTGGCCCACCTAAATTTACGAGATTTTTACTTATAACTATATATTATTAGGAAAATGATTTAAGGACCCAAAATATGAGACCAATGGAGGGGACAGGTGAGGTGTCCCCTCCCTATTGCATAATGAGTTGGTCATGCCAACTCATGTCAACTCATTATTCAATAGGGAGAGGGACACCTCACCTGTCCCCTCCTTTGGTCCCATATTTTGGGTCCCCGTAGCAGCACTCATATTATTATACAATATTTAAAAGGTTATAATCGAAAAAAACTATGACATGATCATTTTGAGAGTAGAGAAGATGATTTTTTTATTACTAGAAACCGACTTAAAATAGGATAATTCTAGAAACCACATTTGAATTATAATTTATGCACAAACCCCTTTTAAAGTGGGCTTGTTTCACAATTAACCACCTCTCGGTTAAAATTTTCATTAAAAACAAAAACATCCTTAAAACCCCACATTAAAGACATGTGACTCATATAAATAGTGCTTAGGCCTAGTTAGCATGCAAGTCACGTGGCTGAATGTGAATTTTTAAGATTATAATTGATTTTTCATGAAAATTTAATTGAGAGATGGTTGATTGCAACATAAACACACCGTAAAGATGGTTTATGTACCAAAAAAAAAAGATGTTATATATAAATTAATATTTAAAAATAATTTTTATAGAATTATTCTATTTTTAAAATGATTTCTATTTTAAAAAACCTCTAAAAAAAGGAAAAGATAAAAGAAAGCGCCAATCAATGATGGAGGCATGCTCTTGACAGGGAGAAAATTCTCTTCGACGCGCACCGACAGCAAACTCTATGAGTGGGGGCCACCTGAGTTTGTGCGACACCTTTGACATGAGGATGGGACCACCAATTATTTAACCAAGGAATCAATCAATCAATCCCGTTGCTTAAAACCACCGACGGTGACCGCAGCCCCATCGGCTTTATTGACAGCACATCAACCTGCCACCGTTCCTTGGCGCTCACTTGGATCACGTGCCAGCCTGTGGTCTTTTAAACTGAAAGCTGCTGAGAGTACGAAGCAAAAGCATGCGCAAAGAAGCACGAGCGCGTAGAAAAGAGAGGAGCGCTGTACGCACTTTTAAGCATCAGAAGAAAGCAGCGGAAGTAACGGCACCCAGCAATTGGACCAAGAGTGGGACGCAGAGTGACGTTGATTTTGATGGTATGGTGGACACGAACTTGGGTATTTTTCCGGGGTCCAACTTTTTAAGGATTAGAATTATCACATCAGTGGAGAAGTTTTTGCATGCAGCCGTCTCCACATTAACAAAATCGAGCTTGTGGTACTGCAAAATCATAATTTTCTTATGCTTCATTTAGGAGTTTGCTGAGGGAAGGGATGGAAAGTCAAATAATGAAAATGTAATGTAGAAAATGAAAGTAAAAAGATAAAATGCTATTTAGAAGTTTAGTAAAGAGAACTAAAGTAACTTTATTTTACATTACATAGGAGTTCTAATAAAGAGGAGGAAGTGAAGTGAATATGTATAAAATTACAAAAATACTCTTACATATTGGATGGGAGTATATATTAGCCATCAATTTTAATGTCATAATGGTATAATTGTCTTATCACATTATAAAATTTTACAATGGTTTCTATTCCATCCTCTACCACCCAAATTGAAGGGTAAGAAAATCGAAGGAAATTTTACATTTCATTCCATCCTCTAACCGAAGAAACGACGAAGAAGAACAAGAAAAAATTAAAGTGCACAATAGGCTACGAGTCGGTCGACCGAAGGCATAGGTCCGGTCGACCGACAGACTGTTAGATTACAAGTTTTGAAATCCAGTCCTGGTCAATCGACCGAACATGTTCTACCAGTCAACCGAACCAGTCCATGATATACAAGTGCATGATATACAAGTGCCGTGGGTTGGATGGGTTCTGTTATAAACCGACAGACAAAGAAATAGGCCCAACCCACCCTCGACCGGGCCCATGTCCGACCCAGCCCAACTTGACCTGGCCTAACCCTATCCGGCCCAATCTAGCCTGGCCTGCCTTAAGTGACAGTTACATTTGGATATAATTTTAACAGCAACTCAATTAAAATTACGAAGTCTGGGTCTTTTGACTTGTAATTTTAGTAATACTAAAGATTTTGTAAACTCTACTAGGTCTTTTTGCTGAATATTTGTTGATATTTTGATTTAGTGAAAATAGTCAAATTGTTGTAATATTTTGTCTTTGAGAAAATTTGATCAATTGTAAATTTATAGATTTTATACTTTTAAAAGATAAAATACAAGTTTTCCTTTTCAAATTATACACACAGTAATCTAGTAAAAAAATTGTAAAGGAAAAAATTAAATTGAAAAAAGAGTATAGGTCGACCTGCCACGTGAACCCACAGTGGGCCTGGTCAGACCCAACCCGACCCCATTGAGGGCTGCGTGCGGGGCTAGGTTAAAACTCAGATCGCAAGATAAAAGTTCTTGCCTCAGCCCGCCCACGCCTGGACCCAACATCGAAGGGCTGGCTCATAGGTGTCAGGCCTAGCCGGGCCCTGAAGTAAAGGAAAGATCAGAAGGATTTTTTTCCCCCCAAACTGAACTGTTCTATTGCTCAAGTGTCATGGTCAAGGGGGGTGTATTTGCAAAAGTAAAAAGGCGTCGGGTGGTACGAAGGCTAATAATTAATAATGACGTGGAGTCGTACTATGCACGAAGCCGAAGCACGCGTTGGTATAAGAGTGGAGGGAAATGAGCGAGTCAGTGAGTACCTTCAACCTCAACAGTTTCAACTCCACTGACTGGCCAATGTCCGCGTAGATTCCACGTCACCCTCTGAACGCCAACCAATGAAAAGGTCTTTCTCGTCGCTGGCGTTCCGTTCCTATCGTGCACCGTCCTCAGCCACACAAGCTATACTCCGCCGCCCCCTCCCCTCTCCATGACTCCATCCGGAGGAACCACCTAATGGACCGGATTCATGGT